AGGTTGTAAGACTACTCAACAATAGTCGACCCCCATAGATCACAAACATCGGGTGAAATTAGAAGAGTACTCAACAAGTACAATATCAGAGTTTTCTACAGAACATCATACACATTACAGAGCACCTTAGTTCACATGAAAAACAAGATCTCTCTAGATTCACAATCTAATTGTGTTTATGAAATAAAATGCTCAGACTGTGATGCAGTATGCATAGGACAAATTCCCCGTGAAATCAAAATTAAGAAAAATGAACACCTAAGGGCTACGACCTGACCTCCTATAAATCCAGTGGAACTGAAGAAACCTGGGAACACATCAGCCATAGCTTTACATGCACTAAGTCGATTTTGACAGTATCGAAATTATTCAGAAAGGCTTTAGAAATTATAAAGAACGTTTCATATCAGAATGTCTTCACATTAAGTGGAATCATATTTGTCTAAATTGGAATGATGGAGTAAAATTTAGTTTGACCTGGTCTCAACCCATCCCCAAATACTGACATAACCATCACACATGCGATAAGAACTATCAACACGTACGAAAATACAAATCTCAACATGTAATTCATACATTCTTCATACATAACACACAACATATGGATATTATCTTTATTCTACAGTTCTGACGGCACAGAATCATTCGGGCAGAAAAGCACTTGTCAAGTTATCATATATAAGCTCTGATACTTTAAATTTCGGTTTACTGTAACTTTGATAACATTGTTAACACTAAGTCACGAAACTTCGGTTGAGACAAATTTATTTTGCTTCTATCAATACTTCAGGAATGATAATCAGGCAGATATATTTAGGAGGAGCTTATTAAAATACACACAAATATGTTTTGCCGGTTATCTGAGATCCACATTTTTACTTATCAGAATCTCATTCGTTTGTGAGCAAAGGACAACCTAGAGCACTGGCTCACATCAATGTAGTTGTTACAGTTTACTTGCTCCTGCGCATCCAAGGTCATAAAACCCACCGTGTACCAGGTTGTGAAACGTACTCATGAATACTATCCATTCTGACTGACAAAAGAACTCATTGGCATCTTCAACTCTGTATGTAACGCAAGACTTAGTAAATTCAATGTGCTATACAATGTGTGACTAGGCCACTGGAAGCAGTAAGGAGCAGATACCTTACCACAGCTGGAGCACTAGTAATTCAAAAGTTCGAAAGGTCATTAGGTGTTCAAAAAATGTATTTATAAACACGTTCTTTGTCATCGCCTCCGTGAAGGTTCGAACATTTCACTTAATTTCCTCACGATGTAATTTCATTTTATTTTTTAATGATTCGTTTACTTTTCTGTTTTAAGTGCTTATGAATACTAAGCAGCCTTCATTTCTAAGATGCTGTCCTTCGATCTTTGACTGGAAATTACTCCGGAGTGTTCTATACTTCCGACTAGATATTCACGAATATACAGTCAAGAGAGGGACTCCATAGAAAGGAAAAATTTTTACTGAATGCAGTCGTTTTCTCTCATGTCCGATATTGTTACTAGAGTGTTAGTAAGATAACCTGACCTGCCAGAAGTTCAAAACAACCATCAGTGTAATTATGGATTTAAAATTTTGTGAATACTTTTGCTTTAATTAGCACCCTTTTAAAGACTAGATTTTTCCCTTATATTAATTAAATAGGAAAGCAATATCACGCAAACGGCACGTGTCATAAATCCTAAGAAGCGAAAGCGTAAAAACGTGATCGGCTGCATGATTCAATTGAGAAAACCTGAAACGTGTGTGGCATATGAAAATCCTATTGACCTCAATTATCTGCACTAATTAAAAGAAAAAGACGTTAGATTTTGATTATTTATATATTACTATGATAAAGGATAAAGAAATAGCCTAATTGTTTATAAAGATAGGAGCCAGCGACTTTTCTGTAATCATCAAGATATGATAATTATTTTTCTAATAAATGCACTGGAGAGATCAGTGTTAATTAAACTAAAACTAGTAGGAATGCAGAGTAAAGAGAAACAGGCTTTCGTTTGAGTATTAGCCTATGGGTAATTAATTCTTTTATGTCTGTGAGCATATAAAACCTTCAGTGATCAAGCATTTGTCATGCATAACCTACTGTAGTTCTGGTGAATATTTGTAGCCCAGTGTGTGGATGATCAAAATGATTCATTCTGTGAGATAGAGTTTTGGGTGGCAAACGTTGAAGCGTTTGCATGTAGTTAGCAGTATATTAGAACTTTATCCTGATGCCACTGTTTCAAACAAATTGTTCATAAAGTCATTTTTTTTAATGTTCAGCAGTGAAATCCAGGATGTACGTTTCTGTCGGTTGGAATTCATCTTCGGAATGTACTGACAACTAAATATTCCAACTGAGATCTGAATTCAACACCTATTGGCTTAAGCACCTGAGTTTTATGCAGTAGGCACCTCAGTTACAAGAACTGACCCTTGTTCATTACCCATAAACTTCCATCAAAGTTAGAAATTTCATGAAATGTTTTATGTGATCCTGTTTTAAAGATCACTATTAGGACACCCGTTTTCCATTTCCTAGAACATTATTGTGCCAAACAACTATGGACAACACGTTTTAGGTGATAATGCCATTGACTTTTTTCAGCTGTAAAGCAGATCTGGGTGAAAGAATCAAGTATTGGGTTCAGAACTATGACAACTACTGGTTTACTGTTGTTCAACGGTAAATATCCTCTTGTTTCTTTCGGATAAACGCCAAAACCAGATTACCTGACAATCTGAATAAATGTTAGTTATTTCCTTTAATTGCAACGAAACAAACTGTCATGAATATATAAAAGATACTATCATGGTAACATAAATAAAATCATGGCCAGATAACAAATAGTCAGTTAGTGGTAGTAAAAGGGTTAACATACCGACACATTTGTGTGCATATTTCTGCTCACTGTAGTGGAATTAAAGTATTTTTTACTGGTAATCGGGGTTGAAATTTGCAGTTTATAATATACTCTATCATTCCAACTTACGCTGAGACTATACAGAAGGTCAAGAAACGTGTTCCTAAACAATTCTAGCTAAACCATACCACTGAATTATTTGCTTTGCACAGTTCTTCCCAATCTATGTACTTAAGTTAAAAAACTCCTTAGACTCAACTTGGCTGGATAAATTCAGTACCTAATTAAGATATCGCAAGTAGAAAATGAAAATTTTGGCCAATGTGGTATGGATCTCTTCGGTTCTAGATTGGATGAAAGCAGGTAGTTACTGAGATCATTCGATGATATCTGTTGGTGTAGTATAATAGTGACGTAATTCAGTGCAAGCTTTTGTCACATTAGAAGTCCTATTTCCTGAAAATGCTTGAAAAGTCAAATAATAAGTTGACTACTTAAAAAAATGCAATATTTAACACAAAATAAGCTTTTTGTCAATAGACAAATTTTAAACTCAGGAAGCAAATTTGTGGCACCTACTTCAGTTGATACGCCAAAATAGATTTCTGTAGCTAGCTTTTCGTCTGTTACGAATTTTGGAGACAATTTTTTGGAGTATGATGCTGGCCCGTTTTGAATAATGATAGGCGATATGGTTAGTTTATTTACTATACACTATTGTTACTCATTGTCAGTCATCTCTGGAAACTCAGTAGCCACTAGTAGCCACTAAATATTCAAAACCTTGTTCAGTTCAGAATAGTTAAACCGAGTATTCATAAAATATGAGCATTTATGGTGATGCCTTCTGGGTAAATAACGTTTGATTTCTTGTAATCGCTTAGCTGATACGTAAACAGTTTACTAGAACAAACATTAAAATAATCAGATGCTATGTGAAAATAATTGACAGACAAACTTTGACTTTTCAAAGATACAGCATTGTTTAGATAACTGATTCAAGTTTACCCTAGGAGAAAGCTCAAATAGTGAATGCTTCTGTACGGCTTTCATTTTGTTTATCCTACAGTTGATTGGGAATGTATGAAATATACAAAATATTACATAACGAGAAATTCGACTGTGAATCAAGGGCCAACTGAATTGCGCTGGAAGCAAGGCTATTAAACTTTTAGGACATGAAAACGATTCAGTTGTTAGATAAATGCTGCTTTCGTAACACTAATTTTCTGCCGTGACACCATCACATAAATAACGCAGTATTTAAGTGTAAAGTTCCAGGACAAAGAAGCAAGTAAGTTGGTGAGGTTGTGAAACTTTATGGGCTCTGACCACTGCGAAATATATTTCACATGCTCTATCCTTGTCTAGGTTTATACGAAATGCTAGACAAAGTATTTTGAGAGTGGAGATAATCAGAGCACTCAGAGTACTGAGTCACTGGAACCGGAACACAGAATCAATGTGTGAAGTTTTTAGCTATTGGTTCTATTTTTGTAGGTAAATATAGACTTTCTGGTTTGCACTGATCTGACGACTTAGATCGGTGGTTAGAAACAGTAGGTTGTCTAGCTCAGAATCGATCTCAGTAGAGCAGACTCACTCACATGTTATCTTTTGTATGATCATATTAGAATTCAGTATTGCTTCATTCCCCTTCGCCGTTTTTTACAAGTCCCTATTACTTTCCTCTTACAGGTTTCATTTTGGTGCCTTATTTCTTGATGTGCTGATATGAAATGCAACAACTTGGATCATTACACAGTATTGCCGAGTTCTATGTCTATAACGACGACTTGATTACAGTAAGTTCACTGAGTGAGGCTAAAAACTTATAAGTCCTTTCAACACGTCTCAGATTTTCGCAGATTCTTGGATTTAAGGAAAAACCAGAAAAGGTTTGAATGTTTTTTCAATTCTTATGTAATTAAACATTTTAACTGCTGTGTTTATATTTCTTCTATATGATTCACATTTTTCTGCCTAAAGTCAGCGACGACTAAGATTATTTGCAGTGACAAACTCAAAATTCTCTTAATTTTCATAGCAAAGACTGTTTTCTTAAAATTGTACTTCTATATTTGACAATTCATAGAGGAGAAATTTAGTTTGGCAAAAACATTAGATGAATTGTTTCAACCTGACTTGAACAGAAGAATAGCAACATTTTGTAGGTAAAAGTATATAAAATGGTTCACTTCATGCGTCACATAGCTAAAAGTGAAGGATAAAAAGAGGTGAAAACAAATGTAAGAAGTTTTATCTATGCATTTGTAGTTCAAAGTTTCATGGAAATTTATAACATGCTTCGAAAGAAAAATTGTCAGAATCAGGATCTCAATTAATTGGTGGTCAATTCCAGTGAGATAAAGGCTTGAGAGCAGAAGTGCATCTGGTGGCCGTTAAAAATTCTTTTCCACTTGTTTTACAAACAAGAATACTTCACGATATCAGTGTCCTCACATAGCCACTCAGTTCTAGCATTTGGTAAACGTTTGAGATACTTGTTCCCCTTTTGTCTAGTGATTTTGAGACGACATGGATTACTGACGGTTGTGATCATTTTTAGACTTTCTATGCTAATCAATAATATTCGCCACTTAAGTAGATATGTTCTAAATACTAGACGTCTCTATGACTACTGTGGATATAAATTCATCAGTAGTGTACTTAAGGTGATTCATCTTCAATTGACAAATAGTTCAAACTAACTGAAATGTGACTGGCCCTCAGAGTAAATTTATGAGGAGCACAATCAAAAATCAGATGTCTACAAACTGCACACGTCTTGCAGACAATGGTACAAATACGTGATATTTGTTCGTAAAATTTTTTCATGATTCTTTAGGCTAAAAATACTCAAATAGTTCATAAGTATATATGTGGAAGCTTTCAGATTAGCATTAATAACGTCATTTGTGGTGTCTACCAGATTACTTGTTGCAGTTTGTACATTTTGGTCGCCAAAAGAACCAGTCTGGGTCCATCTCATTCTGTGATTTTTATTATCGACTGTTTAGTTCGTAAGCATCTGATTTGATGATATAATTACTGATTTTACTTCCAGATAATATCTAATTTGAGTTGTTTCAAAGACTACCAGCTAGTTCATCATTCTGTTGTTCATCTTTTTCAACCTAACAGAATGTGATTCACTATTGTTTCATGATCTTTTCTTAGAAGGAAAGAGAGTGCTTGCCAGCGCATAGCTCATATGCGCTTGCAATATATATTACTAGTGAACGATTAATCATATCCATTAAATTAACATTTACTAATCAATTAGGTTATTATTAAATGACTTTGCTTCATAAGTTGAATATTTAAGATTTTATGTTAATAAAACATTTCGGGTTCAAATGCTTGTGATTTTAACCATAATATTATCTGTCTAATGGTGTGGTGATTCGAAGTTGAACGAATACCTCAAGCGCGGTCGGACTGGAACCTGAAGCTTCTGAGTTAGTATCCTGGTGCTCTGCCAACTTAGTTACAATACTCAGTTGCTAAACGGGTTCGGACTTCACTTTTGGTTAAAAGGTTTTTTGTTATTTTGTAGATGAGATCTGTAGGTATGCTTATTTATTGTCATTATACTGAGTTTTCAGTTTGTTCTTAATGAAACTGGTCAGCCACATGACAAGCCAATAAACATTTAAGGTTTATACTAAAATCAAAACCTAGTCAGCAGGTTTATCTCACCACTCAATCGGCAGAGCACTAGGATTGTATCTCAAAGGTCACTTATCTATAGTCTACTATGGCTATGGCCATCTTCAGACATTATATGATTATGCAGATACTACTCTACCTGTTCACAGTCTCATTGGATAATCCCACAAATAACAATGATATCATTCAAAATTCTTTTATTGGTACGGAGACAACATCCCTACATGGGACCGAAGTATTTAAAGTGGAGAACATTCAACATGAAAATAAGTGCATGGTAATTCGCTTCAGATAATATTAAATATTTTTAAGAGTTCCAAGGTTCGAAACGATCAATGAACTTCTTGGCATGAGGATGACATTTCAGTAAAAGCGTTAGTATTTATTAGGCGACACTTTTTACCTGTTTTCAGTCAATATGTTACTCTCTGTTATCGGTACTTATGCATACCAGTTTATGATCAGTATTCTGTTTAGTTTACAAGGCGCAAACATGGTCTCTCAAAATGCCTTGAGGTTCACGGTTATAATTGCATTCACAGTGTCATGCTTCACTATTTCATTCAGTAGGACTGCAATCAAGTGATTAAATCTGTCTCATGACCAATAAATATCAGTAAAATTACACAACATTTATGTCAATGCACAAGCAATATTCATACCTTCCAAAATTTCTCCCGATAATACAATGCCATGTTGGTCCATAGTTCTTATCAAATTCCTTTTTAATGAAGGTGGCAACATCTTTCTCAATATTATATTCTTCCATCGCTTGAGCAGCAATATCCACTGCGTACTGTTGCATTTCCTCTGACATGTCAGCATTTTTGACAACTGCCTTTTTAAGATCCATTTTTATTTGTCGCTTTATTGAACTGGTCCAAGTAACTACAGTTATTGTGAAATCCGCTATTTATAACTTGTTTGCTATAAGTGAGTAAAATTTCAACTTGATCGATTTTAGTTGCTTGACTTCACATTAGTGGACATAAATAATTATCAACAAAAGCATCGAATTACTCATTTACGCAGAGATAAAAAGTGATGATTGGATAAATTGTTGTGCATTCCGTGCAGTGTGCTTGTCTTACGAAAACGTAATCGAGCTAAATGTGAAGGAGGTATGTTAGAAATAGTGTACGCAAGACATTTTACACACTTTTTTTCACTCTCCTTGAAAACACTTTTCTCGATTTAAATTCTTTTGTGTGGTGGTGAATAGGTAGACAATGCAAATTTATAGCACAAACAGACACACATCTTTTTTTACATGTTTGAATACTACAGTTTATGCTAGAGTAAATCTACTTTTCAAGTAGATTTGGTTTCTTCATTGTATATAAAAAAAATCTGAAAATAAAACCGGTTTTGGAAATGCAGTTATGAAGTGAATATGTGATATTCAATGAAACAGAATGCTGTAGTACCAATTGTAAGTGTGGTTTTGGTGTGGTTTATCACAACTATGGTCCAGAATTTGTATGTAGTTCACAATATCAACTTTAAGTATCTGAAAATAGAGATTGATGGTGTGTGAATTACGAACGATCAAATAGTTTTCAAGTTCCAGACTGAATGTTAGGTGGATTATAATGTAAAGAATCTATTGGTCAACAGACTGACATTAAGAACACAGAAAATTTTAACCTTATACTTTGCTCTCATTCGGTTCACTTCACAGCAGCCTTTAATTTGAGGAGGCATGAGTATGAAATTAATTACGGACTGATCTTTTAAAAACTACTTCAGAAAAGTCCTTTGCATAGCAAGTCTTCTTTTAAGCGAACCTGCCAGGATGTCACTTGTAATCAGCAACAAAAATCCTATTGAGTTCTAGGGGTTTGTGGGGATTAAAAAATATTCCAAGTTGGTATTCATGATATCGGTCTACGATCAATACAAACTTGAAAAAGCTTGCTGTCAGCATTCTGTTTTAAATTAAAATCAAAAAGTTAGCTATTGAAAAAATGTTCTTAGCACAAATGTCCGTTTATACAGCCTTTATTACACATTGCATGTAAACATGATTTTTTGTACGTTACAGCTTACCTTTGAAAAGACTACGTTGTTGCCAAATAACATTAAATCTCATAACTTCTGACTCCTCAGACCTCAAAAATATTTATCTATCCACATGTATTTAAAAATTTAGATCAAAGACTTCTTAGACTTACACTGGGTTCACGAACTTCATAAGCTTCTTTGTCTCAATAAATAGGTTGTATACTTTAATTTGTCTTGTAGAAAGTGAGGAAATTTTTAGGACTAAAAGTTTAAAAGTATTTGTTTATAAGATTACGCTTTCAGCGAAAGATCCTGCTTTGATATGTAGTCATTGACCTTTAGAATTCACTCTTTCTGTACACATCATAAGTTACATAGATCTTCCTTGGTTTTCACAGCAGATAAAATATTATTCGTCGGAAAAGGAAACTTTGTTTTGGATTGAAATGACGTCACAATGTACGAAAATATGTTTGTTATCAGTCAGCAGGAAACTGATAGGTTATGCTGGAGGTGTATATTCAGTTCTCATTATTGTGCGATTTCAACCTGAAACTCTAGCTTGTACTGGAATTCAGTCAAATGTCACTTAGATTTGTAGTTAGTGAACCTAATAGTGAGCTATTTGGAATTTCGCTGACGAAATACAAAACTAAATTTACACAAAAGGATGTCAACAGTTTGAGCACAGTAGTCGGAATTTATCATATTTTTAGGTTGCATCACAGTTGGTTACAACCTAAAGTAGTTTAATGTTAAAATACACAAAAGTGCTCACATATTTGAATTAATCTGACAGGAAATTACTAGCTTGAAGAGAAGATAATATGGATGTAAGGCAACTGAAAAAAAATAAATCACCTGCACTTACATGAACTAGTAATAAGGCTATCTATATGTAGAATTATTTGATGAACAATTTAGGCACAAGTAAAGGAAGTTGAGTAGTAGCAGGAAAAAGTGTGACGTAAGAACTGCAGAAAGGTCTGAAAGAAGTCAAAGACATTTAATCGCTAAGAGAACAAGAGTAAAGTGCGGACAACAAATCCACTAGTATGAAACGCAGCAAAAGCACCAGCAAATTCATTGGTTATTTAAAAAGAATCACCGTAGAAGTGATAAATAGGCAACCGTTTCTTTCTGAATACAAAAATTTTGTTGCAATTATTATTATTATTTGTCCCCTGGGTTCCTAATGGGACATAGGGCTTCAGTAGCACGTCTCCATTGCACTCTGTCCTCTGAAACCTTTTGAACTTCGCTCCATGACAACTCACAAGCTCTCATTTTCCTCCTCGTACGATCTCCCACATGTCACCCTCGCCTCGGACAACCAACTAGTCGCTTTCTATCGGGGTTCCACTCGAGTACCTGGCTAGGCGCATGATGTCCCCAGCCGGCCTTCTCAGTGTATGCCAAATCCAATCCATCTCCATTTCCTTCTGCATATTTATTCAGCGATGGGTTCTTGGTTTGTTCGTTACCAGAGTGAGTTCCTTGTTGCTTATTCTTATTATTGTGGCCATCCAAGCTTCAGTAATGAGCCAGTGTAGGCAGTTGTTGATGAATGTCTGTGGTTTGTTGGAAATCCCTTTCTTAACGCGTCAAGTCTCTGAACCATATAGGAGCTCTGACTTGACATTGGCTTTAAAAATCCGGATCTTGTTCACTCTTTATGCTGAGTACAGAAGATCTGCACACTGGTTTCAGGTTAATGAACACCTGTCTTGGTTTTCCGACCCTGACTTTGACGTCCTCGTCTGTGCCGCCTGTAGTTGAAACAGTGCTGCCTAGGCAGCTGAAAGAGGCTAGTTCTTTTAAGTTTCTACCGTTGATGGTGGTTTGGGCTTGTTGTTGTTGTTGGTTGCGTATCTTCATCACCTCTGTCTTCTCCAAGTTAATTTAAAGTCCCGTCTTTGTTGTCTTGTCTCTTCTGTCAGCTTGTTAAGTTTCGTCTGTAGATCGTCGAGTTTGTGTGACACTAGACACAAGTCATAGGCGACGAAATCCAAATCCTCTAGGTTCTTCCCCGCGGTCCAGCCAACGTATCCCCCTCTTCTCGCTCCTCACTGTTTGTTGCATGATCCAGTCCACTACAATCAGGAATATCGTGGATGATAGTAGACAGCCTTGTTTTACTCCTGTCTTCACTTCAAAAGCATTACTGAGCTTCCCATTGTGAATTACTTGGCATGTGGCGTCTTCATACAGTTGTTGAATGAGGTTGATAAATTTGTTGCAATTACTGTACAGATACCAAACCAGCTACATGCAATACATTCAAGTTCATTTATTTGTAACTTATGCTAAAAGATTTTTGGACATCAACTGAGTTTCGACTATCAATTAAATTGAAAGTAGTTCCACTGATGAAGGCCTGCTCATTTCCTACTTGTAAAATCTTTGAAATATGAGTAAGTACGAAATTATTGACCTTCATCTCTATTCACCTGGCGCATGAAGTTCGGCGTGTGTATGCAAACCGATGCATGCAGTTCGAAGTCACATGTTAAAAAGAAATGTCAACTAAGGATTATTTTAACTAGCGATTGTTAGCAGACCAACTTGACGGCTGTGAAGGTATGCTTTATTTGCATTGGTTAGCGTATATTTACTTATCCGGAAAACCTATCATTTTCAAAGCCAAGACTCAAAATGACAAGTTTCTTCTCAACTGCATGACACTACTCCTTTTCATTTGATGTTTTCTTGTCGAACAAGTGGTTGTGGATTTTCTCAATTTTGGAGAGATGTTTTGAAAATTGGTCATTTTCTCTTCGAAGAAGAATGGTCATTTACACTTGTGAAGGGCCTACACCCCTTCTTCTTACAATTTATGAGGCAAAAGTGTTGAAATTAGTTAACAGTTTACTCAGTGTACCTTGACAATTGGTGAGCCATAAATTCTTCAAAATGTTAAGGCCTAGCTTTGGAACAAATCTAAAGCTATTTTTCAAAAAATAGATTTTCAGCTTTCAGGTCGACTGACCGATAGCTAGATGATTTTTAATAGTTAACTGTATTACCCATTGTTATGCGAATTCGGTTGATCATAAGATGCATTGATTTCATGAAGAATGACACCCACATTTAAATAAAGAAAACTGAATGTTATTTCAGGCCACTAATCAAAAGCGTAATAGCAGTTTTAGTAATATAAAAGGTCGACTAACAGTTGACCGTTTCGAACCCTTCAGTGGCCCATATTTTCATTTCACTCTAAATCATCACCCAGTATCATTACAAGTCTACCAGACTATGACCACCTAGGATAGTCAAACTGATAATTTGCTTTAGCAACACTTATTCATGTGCAGTTTAGCAAAGCATTTAATGACTTTTTAACGTCTTATAAAGCCACTATTGTATAGCAGTTACGCCAAAACTCATCGTGAAAAATTGGGAAATCATTGGAATGTAAAAAGGGATACATCTTAGCCCTTTTTTTGAGAAATCAGACTTTCATATTAGTAAAGAAAAGAGACAAAGTAGGTGGTATTTGTATTTAAGATATGTACAAGTATTCCTACCTGTGAAATATTGATGTTAAAAATTCTCCCTTTCGAAAATTGCAAAACATGTATGCAAACCATATTGTTTGTAATTAGATGTCTCCAGGCTTTTGATATGATATGATATGACATATATATATCATATATATATATATATATATATATATATATATATATATATATATATATATATATATATATATATATAACGTTTGACATAAATATACACCAATTAAGTTTGCGGACTACACTATCGTAGGTAATATAAACAGTGTTAACATAAGTAGTGATATGAATATTCAGAACGATTTGAAAATGTAAGCAGATGTTTGTGCAAAGTATGTCGAAGCCTGGAAACGACCATTAAGTTACGGAATATTGAAGGGGCGAAGACAGTTAAACGATAAATTTTGAATGTGGGTATATCAGGAGTATGAAAAAAGGTGAAAAAATGGTGTAAATATAAAGAATACTGTTTTGCATCATCCATCCTATGCTAAAAAACCTTCCTAGCATTGAGTTCGTTTATTATTGGAAAGTAGTAGTCTTCAAAAGGAAGTCAATAGGTTCCACTAAAGAAGCTGGTCAAATTACCTGAATCCTTTCTCACTGGTTTACTTGTTAAACACTTTAGAGTAATGACACTTCTGGGAAGAAAAAAGTCATATATAGCGACACCCACTGTAAAAGTCTTCATTGTCACACGTACGTAACCACCTATTGCAAACATAATTTCAGTTTAAAGCTTCTGATTCTCAGCATCTCGCGAACCTCATTTCAATGTCAGTCAAAAGGAAATAACTAGGATGATGATAGTTATCGTGAGCTGAGTTTCCTGAAAAATGATATTCTGAGTAATTACTGACCAGTTGTTGGTAGGTTTTCATTTGGTCTGTGTATACTTTGTTATAGGAAGCAGGTTAAAGAATGGTCATAAACTCATTAGTGGTAGTTCATTCAGCGAGCACCAGAGTTTCGAAAGGGAGTAAATTAGATTCATTTATGGATGGCTTCTTATCAAGCAAAAGTAAATGTTTTGTGCTTGGCGTGCTGTTGGATCATATTCTTCTCTTCTGCTTTTCCCTCCAAGTTCTCATGCTGGTTGAGTAAACCATAACCACTGAACGTTTGCATATTCCTCTGCTCGACCGTGCAGCAATATAGTTTCAGGCTAGATGAAAGCCAATCAACAACTGATCTTTATACAACTAAAAATTAGAAATGAACATGCGGATAGAAACTTCCCTTTTCTTTAAAGTGTATTTTAATCCAGGTAGGTAAGTAAAGTTTTGGTATTCGGTTTTACCACATCAAGGGCAAATGTAAGTTAAACGAAAAAGAGAAGGTCATTTACTTATTTTTTAGCTACTGTCCTGTAATCATAAATTGTCGATGCATTCTTTGAGTACATTTATATAAATGTACTACTTGACGCAAAGTTTTCCTGTCGACATTGTATTATTTCATATAAAATCAGGCAAAAGATCGAGGATTTTGGCTGTTTAATTGTTTGCCATGAAATGACCGGATAAGGTCAGAAGAGGAATCTGAAGTGTGTACTGACAATGTTGTCTGGAATGACAATGAAAGTTTCACGATTAAGCCATCCAGCACAGGAACCATATACCTACATTTTCACTGCAAATATTACTCCAAGAAGTGTTTCACGTGATACATCTGTATATATATTAGATTTTACAACATATAAATGTTCAATTTTCAGTTTCACGTAGATAATAAGCAACTTCTTGAGAATTTCTTATTATCGACGTAAAAGCTGTGTGTTTTTTGGTGAACATAATCAAAGCAAAAACTCTTGTGATAAAATTTCTTAATCATGCGCTGATAACACATGTGATTCTTTATTTTTTGTTTGTTTTTTCGGTTTCTTATACTCATGTGTGTTTTTAATGTATCGTTCATCTATGCAATCACTATCTAATATCAACTACATTATTAGTTTCATTGAAGGATAGAAAAACTGACTATATATATTCCATTTAAAGGAATAATGAGGCTTTATTAAGTTGGCAAACACAACCTTTATCAAGTTTACTTCTTATCGTAAATCCTTTTATATTCATCATGTCTGCACAAAGGGCTATTGTCAAAAACACTAATTTACCAGCGGATATGCAAGATCAAGCAGTGAAAACATGTTTGAAAGCAATGACAACATGCAGACATGATAAAGATGTAGCTGCTGCAATAAGAAATACTTTCAATCAAAAGTATGGACGTACGTGGCACTGCATTGTTGGAGGCAGTTTTGGAAGGTAATTTGTAAATGATATATTATGCACTTCAGCTTATGCATATTCTTGTAACACAAACCCCTTAGAAATCTTGCGTAAATGAATTTTCCTGAGGTTTGCAAACGTGGTTATGGTCACGTTGTAGGAACCATGTTTTTAATTATGAATATATCTGGGTTTTTGTATGGCGCATTCCATGCTACGAAAAGTCTTTTATCTTATTACCAACACTGTGTTACGTAAAGTTACATTGTGTTTAAAAATAATGTGTACTCCATGAATTCATACATGTAAGGATCTTTATAATAGATGTTTGATAGATCAAAGTCTACTAATACTCAGAGTGCAGCAATTAACCTTTAGTGGGTAATCTCAACTAGGAACAGTCGAAAATTTACCAGATTAATTTAGGTTGGATGATATGCGAAATTTATATGAACTTGTTATAGGACACATGTAAGAACCTTCTCATAAATTTTCATAATTCTATTTATGTTTTCAATTCTTTTTCATTCTGAAAACATGTAAACATTTAGTCGGTTTACTTTGTTCAGTACAATCACCGAGGTTACATGTTCCCGTCTTTAATTAAATTTCATGAATATATGTTAGGATTAAGTGTCTGTGTAAGTAAATGAGTAGACAAGAACATTTTGTAAAACTTTAAAAATATTGATTTTACTTAAGTGTTTATTTCTGCTTATTTTAGCAACGTGAGCCACGTGGACACAGGTTTGATTTACTTCTTCATGGGACAAAAATCGGTCTTGCTGTTCAGATCAGAAAAAGCTCACTGAGTATGCAAATATGAACGATAGTACATTCCGAGTGAAAACGAATTCGCTGGAAACTTGATGGATAGTTTCAAATGTTTTTAGCTCACATTAAAAAAAATGTTAATAAATACAATCTGTATTAAAGCCTGAAATGTCTTTTATGTTGCAGAAAAAGTTCTAGATCTCACCGATCACTTCCAAATCCTCTCAACTGACTAAAAATAATTGAAACATACATCCTAATCTTAGGCTTAATTCATACTTCTATTGCCTTTTGGCAGTCGACTGAGGGATGAACACTAAATAGTGCAGACTAATGTGTTGCATCAGGAGGCGTGAAATATCTTATGATGATGGTGTTCAAAACTTCTTACCTACTAAAAACAGAAGCAACTTCAAACGCTTGTCATATATAGTCTACATTTTATAGTTATGGAATAAATTTAAAAAAGAAGTTATTACCAACAATGCAAAATAGGTACATGGTATAACATAGACTCATCGGTAACATCTTAAAGGTCTTATTTTGATCATAGTTTTATTAGTTGCAAGAAAATCAAAATAGCACGTAAGAAAATCAAGCAGAAAATAACGAATTTATTTGTGAAGTTGTAAACAGTATGATGATAGAGAATATCATAAGGGAATAGAAAGAACATATTGAAAGTGACTAAAGTAATGAGACAAAAATTTCCTTGGAACAAATTTTCAAATCAAAAGTAATTGATGCTTTTGTCGAGTTCAAGGCGTTACTGAAATTTCATTGATAATTTTTGCGGAATGGACACTAAAGTAAGCGGTAAACGATTCCTACATTTTGCATTTGGTTTCGCGTTTTTGGCACCCTGAGGAAGTTAATGTGTCGGAGAAAATGAAGAAGTTACGAATGAAGATAGGAATTCGACAGCGCTAACCCCATATTCAATGTTCCTAAAAAAATCTACTTAACTTTATATGAGTATGATCAAGCAAACATGTCATTGGACGGCTGAGATGAACGGTTATACTCCTGTATATCGAGTGGATATTGGAATTTGTACTGACCTGGAACCAAGTTAAGTTCATTCAATGTTCCGATGATTACCAAGCCCCAATACATTTACTTAAGGTAGATTTTGAAAGTAAACTAAAGAAAACTGGTAGGTTCACTGAATGCTGGATTAGGCGATCACTGTGTAAAAGTAGTCAAAATCGTAGGTTCACAACTAATGATTGTACTCTTGTATAATTTGACTTAAACGAAAATATTATGCAAAATTAAGTTAGTTAATTGGAGTTTCAATAGAGCCAGCTTCTGGTTGAAGAAAACATTCCCAGAGTCATAAGTCTGAGTTTTAAGGATGTGCGGAAAGTATAACGAATCTGTAATATTATTAGAACTATTATTATTAGTATTTTAAAGATCAACATAATATTTAAAGCGGATAGCGAAGAATGAATAGCCGTAGTCTGTTAAGTCTGTAAAATGCCATAGTGTTACGGAAGGTAATATTAATATCAACGAGAAAAGAGGGACATAAAGACTCCTCCTGCAAATCTCACTCAAGATTCTCTGCAGCTAAAGCTCAACACCATTTGACGGTAAAAATGCTTCCAGACTTCATTTAGCATCTATTGGTCTCATAGACGTTTGATAAATTGAAATGACTGATTACGAAACGACATTTTATGAGGGTTCTGCCATTAGGAAAATTTTTAATGGAGCCATTAGAACTCTCATACTTTCCCTAATTTTTTCTGTTGAATGGGAATAACTTTAAAGACTTTTGGTTGTTTTCATACCTAATATTACGCGTTAGTTAAAGTTTCAAGTGAAATCGATTGTCTCGTTGACAAGTTAAGACAATCTTAGAACTCCTGGAGTGGGTTTATGCATGGTAAAGCTTCATTCTTTTTCAAAAAACGATGAAATCTCGAAATCACATTCTTTATGTCACCAATTTTACACTTATCTCTCTATATATGTACGTACAATGATGACCAGCGTTTTCAGATCACCTACTTGGTACTTAATTTGCTGAGCTGTGAGACTGAAGGGGTCTCAGTGTTATTGTTGTGAATGAGGTATTCTAGTGGTTTTCATATGAATCCGTAATAGGTAAATGACCATACATATTTATCCTCGTACTGTCAATTCAGACCGTTTTAAATCTAATTATATTGAGTGTAAAAATAAAAGAAACTGACCGACTGTTGTTATAACTATCTAAAACATTAAGTATGTTAGATTGATCACAAAATTTCTAGCAACTGTATAGACGATTTACAAATCGTTTATTTGAACTTAAACTTGGAAAATTATTCCGATCAAACAGAACGTGTTGGCTAATCTTAAATATATCTGTTACCATTTATACTTAGTGAAAAATCCATAAAATGTAAAGTTACTATCTTTCACATGATTCTTTCAAGATATCAGGAGTTTAAAATGAATTAATTTAAGGAGTAGACAAATTCTGTGGTTTAGTAATTCAACTGATTTATGATTCACCTCATATAGGTAACCTCAGGTTACATTGTAAGTCTTGAAAACTTTTGAATCAATTACTTTTCAATCATATATTCTGTTTTCATGTAATTGCTATCTACCCAAAAGATTATTCATATGGTTTGAAATATACGTTACGAAAATGAAAAATAAATTTTTATCAGAATACTTTGATACCAGATTCTGTATCTTAAAGCCATCTCTGTATTATATTCGAAATTTAAATAGAAATGTATGTAGATCGGGATTCTTTCAGTAGTCTGGTTGACATTCAGTTAACTGGTCCCAAAATCTAATCTTTGTCAGTTTCAACTGGTAATTAAAGAGCTAGGAGATTGGATTTTTTGATGAAGTAAACATCTTATTTGTTTGGAGGAAATAGATAGGAATTTCCAAACTTAGGTTTCTTACTTACGACTCTGAGAAGGTCACTAACTATAGGACAACGCATCAACTAAATAAAAAAAGCCTAGAAGTAGACTGATTAAATATGAAGATTGAAGGCTTAGTTTGAATGGTTTCAGATGAAGATTTCATTAACTCCTATGAAATCAAACAAGTAAACAAATGTCCTATAACGTCTTTCAGTTCAACCCAATTACAACACTTCATTAAGTGTTGGCATGAATGTCACCCAGATTTCATTTACTCTTCAGTTAGTGTTCTCCTATATGAACATGTATAAGTTAAGCAGTTTACACTAAGAATAAGTGAATTACCGCAGAATTTGTTCACAGCATAAAATTCAAAGTATTATTCCCTTTATGATTGAGAACTAAATAAAAACTCTTAACATGTAAGGCGTGGTAAAGTTGTTACAAATTTTATAGGCTTTCGGATCAAAATTTAACCTGAAAGTAGTGAACAAGTTAAGCATGGAGTGAATCTTACTGGGATTTTACAAATATATTTCGTTTTTATTTGTTACAAATCCTCTGTAGATTTAAGTTAGCAGGTACATACTTAGTCCTAATAACCGTATCAATATGCTTAGAACTGCTTTTAAGAAAAATTTGTTCATTCTTGGTGAGGAATGCACTTTTGTCTTTTGAAATCAAGGATCATAAAGTGAAAGGGGTTTCAGGTGATGAAACTTCCTTATAAAAGTATTCAAGCGTTTTCAAAAATGAAACCTGATATTTTTCCTCCTTCGATATAAAGAGTGTTATGGAAACATTGATAGGTGAGTACTTGTTTCTTATCTTCTTGTTGTTCATCGCTTCTTCCTTCTCAACACTGTTACTACCGTACATTCTTCAACTAATATAGCTGACGTCTGAAACACACTCATTATCATAATTAATATCATTATTGCTACTAATAGCCTTATTGTTCTATGGAAAATAACCAACCTTTTAACAGCTCAACTGAAACTGAGGCGTTCACCTACACTATTACTTTCGCACCACATTATTCTGATCTATTATTATTATTATTACGCACCACTTTCAATAACCTCGATCTGAATATCGTCTTTAAAGGTATTTATTAATGTCATTGTCTTGGCTAACACGTTGGTAAGAATTGACATAAGTTCTGCGTGACAAATTATGTCGAATAGATTGCTACATATTTTATTTTAACATTGATCTGGACTTTTTCTATTGTGTAAAGGATATCATCATTTCGCAGGTGGCTTTGACTGCAATGAGTTTCAACCTTTAAATTGCCGGAATTACCTCAATTACTATATGCATATGAGATGGTGAGCAAATGAATCGGATTTACTTCAGCTGGAAGTTCTTCACTGCAGTTTATACTACTTGAATTCGACTGTTAAAAAAAATTACTCCCTTCAAACGAAATTAATAGAATGAGAAGGCTACATAAATATAACGTGGAAAGAAATTATACATAAATTAATTTCGCATTTATTAAATTCCAGACAAACGGAAACATTCAAGACAGATAAATATGAATGACTGAATCCATAGCTTGAAGCAATTCATTCCGCATCTACATTTACTCAACATTTAAATTTTTATTCTAAGCTACCATATCTCAATTTTTTCTGACAAGTTATCAGGTGTTTTCGTGCTGATTACGAGGGTCTGCTTAAATCTTGGGCTACCAAATGTTTTCTACCGAATTTATAACAACAAGTTGCTCCTTTGGAACTTGTTTGAATAAATTGTGCCTAAAATTGATATTATTAACTCTTGAGCACTTTAAAAATGTTTTTAATCTGCTGTTTTGTAAATTAACAGTATAATTAAGATGATATTGAGCTCTTAAACTCACAACAGTGCATCACGTAAATATTACTTAAGGAGTTAGCTTGAATTGCAAATTATCAGGATAATTAAATGAACCACACATATTGAACTTAGACATGCCTTTTTATTAACGTCCTTCCTGAGGCTAGACGATATTCTGACAACAAGTGGTGGTTACACGTTATGGTCAACAATATTGCTATTATTAACATTGCTGAGATGCTACCATTAGTTCATCTAAACAAACTGTACAAAAAATAAACTTGCTGCAATATTACGTTCTGAGAATTCTATACTGTAGCGAAAATATTGTTTGGAATAAACGGATTATTATTATTCTTTTATCATCATTAAGAGGTCAATCACAAAACATTTCACTCTAGAGAATGAGGAAATTTTCGAAGTATACTTATACAATTTAAGGAACCTATTCTAAAGTTGTCGGTTT